TGTTTTTCTCACATCTTACAGCATCTGTTTTATCTTCCCCGTGTCACGCAGCACTGTTGCCTTTACTGTGTCACCATTGTGATTTAACTGTCAGCTCTAATAAAAACACACTGCGCCAGAACACCGTTTATCCACAGCACCGTCGATCCACAGACCTGATTCGTCGCCGTGCACAAGATCTCGACGAGCACGGCTTCATCCGTGCCCGCCCCCTTCATGGCCTTCCTCAGCTCCTTGGCGAAGTAAAGGTGAGGAGGGTCACACATAGCCATGACGGCTTTCTCAAAACTACCTGTTAGTTCCTTCTTCAGGACCTCCTCTAACTCCTGAGGAAATACATAGGTCACATGATTTGCAGTTATTCTGTGTGTGTGTGTGTGTGCGTGTGTGTGTGTGCGTGTGTGTGTAACATCCAGAAAGAGACAGGTGCGTACATCATCATATTTTTCAAAGTAGGCCTGTTTGATCTCCACACGCTGAGCTGCAGAGCGATTGGCCAGAATCTGGATAATGGCCTCTTCATCTGTGCCTGGAGAAAATACAGCAGAACAGACCTGAAGGATTGATTCAAATGACTTTATTATCACAGCAACGTTAGACTATTACTGGGCTGATAACATCACACTGACTGAAGTCACCAGGACAGACCTTTTTGTTTCTGTTAAAGGACTTTCAGATGAATATCCTTCTCTTAAACATTGGGATAAAGAGCAGTGATAAAAGTGCAGATATACACACACAGCAAAGACGCTGTTCTAAGCACTTGCATCAACTCCTGGGGTGGCTGTAGCTCAGGAGGTCAAGCAGGTCATCTACTGATTAGTGGTTCGATCCCTGGCTCAGTCGGCATGCCAAGTATCCTTGGACAAGATACTAACCCCAAGTTGCTCTCTGATGCATCCATTGGAGTATGAATGTTAGTTAGGAAGCCATAAAAAGCTTAGAAGAAAGGGAATGTGGCATGTTGTATAGAGTGCTTTGTGTACTTTGGGAGAGTAGAAAAGTGCTAAATAAGATTCAGACCATTTAACTCCCAACCAGGAAGTCTGGTTTGCTGCGAGACAACAGTGCTAAGCATCGCGTCACTGTGCTGGCTGCTGACACTATAGAGGACGTAACATGTTGATTAGTACTGAACTCTCCAAGTAGATATTTTATTATCCCTAAATCCGCTTCTGCCACACTTATTAAAATCTGTATTTTCTAGAGAGGGTTTGCTTATTTCAGTTTTAATTAGTTTATCTAGTGTTTTACACATTTGCCTCACACGTAAAGGTTTCCCTGTTTAATCCCAGCAAGAGGCATCTGCTGTTAATATCCAACATGCAGAGCGACCTGCTGGGATGAGCACTTGTGAGTAACGGAGCCGCTGAAAACAGCTTTCAGTTTCTTTATTTTCTGTCATATAAATCCTAGTGTTAATGTCATAACAAGTATGGCCAATGTTTCCAATAATGACATGAGAAAATGTCTGCTTTACAAGAGCAAGCCAATCATTAGAGTTGGATAAGGAGGGTGGTCATAAAGGATGAGGCTGCACCAATGCCCAATACGAACAGTAATCAATAAAAATTGAATTGTGAATCATCTGAAGCTACTCTACTAGAGTCCTAGAAAAAAGAATTAAAAAAAAATAGGGATCTGGAAATGACCAAAAGAGGTCGAGTTAAAAAAAGACAACAGTTTGAAGATGTACTCAATCAATGTACCTGAGATATGGATTCTGATATAATTTACCTCAAATACCACATAATCCCTGTAAATGCTGTTTCATGACAGAACCAAACATACACATCAACAGGGGAGGTTATTAGCTGTGCAAATACTCTGATGCATTGTGTAACGTCACTTTGTTCACAACAACAGTTGTAAGCTGTGGGGAACACTGCAGGCTTGGTGAGAAGAACAACAACTCCAGTGAGCAGGTAGCAGATAATGCCAGTGAGGATTTAGTAACACAACCGACTGAAGCTTATGTCCACGCTGTGTGAGAGGCAGGCTTTGAAACCTACACCCACCTATCTTGTGAAAGTACCACTGCATAAAGATCGTTGCAGACTATGACATTTGCCTCTCTGTACCAACACCAGTTCTCAGTGGAGTACGCCTCGTACTGTAGTTACATCAAACTTAGCAAGTGTTGAAATTAACTCTCTGCAACACATAAAATGTAATATTGATTTTTCTGAGTGTTTCTCTGTTATTAGTCTGAAAACTTTTAGGCATAAAAAAAACAAATCCCCACTTTTTACAAATGCTTTAATATCAGTTAAATTAGAGGCTCTATTACGACCTTACTAAACTGCAATTATCATAATCATGATCAAACACACAAAGAGAGTCTTCACATGACTACAGCATAACCTAATATACTTCCTGAGAGAGGAGTTAAAAGAATAAACTTGTATGTACTTACCTAAACCTTTACAGGCTTTTCGAATAGCTTTTATATCTGCTGTAACATCAAAGTCCTCACATGGGACTATAGTGGGCTGGAGAACAAACAATCGCAGAAAATATTGAATATTCTTAGTAATAAATTCAAACAGTTCATTCAAAGCAGCCACAACAGGTAAAGCAAATCAATCAATCAATCAATAAGAGTGACTCATAATGTTACATTAGAAAAGTGCCGGCATTTAACTACAACTGTAACCTTGTCCACGCAGATGAAAGGGTGGGGTCATTGAAAGGAGTTAATATGGTGTTACATTCAGGCTCCTGCGGAGAAAAGGGTGCTGCCTGTGTGTGATCGCTGAGTCATGGGGCAGCAGCAGCCTCCTCTCCTCGCCCACCCTTGGTCTAATACAATGCGGCCTTATTGATCTGATCTTACAGAAATGCCTTTTTCCCTGGGCCTGGCATGGCACACTCCCTTGCTCAAGTTAACTGCGCCAGCTCTGTCTGTCTTTACACACCGCAGGCCACACAAACACAACAAAACTGAAGAAAATAATAAAAGTGACGCTCTCGCGGAGGCTGTCTGCCGTACTCAGTGAGGCTGTAGCTCAGCGTCTCTGCTGTCAGAGTTTGGATCTTCAATATTCATCCTAACACCAAACTTTTAGGCACTTTTATAATACATTTAAATAACTGCGTTTCAACTCAGCTGAGCTTTTGTCATTAGTTATAGATGACCTCTTACCTGCACGTTGCCCATGTCCTCCACACGCACGTCTTCTGGCTATGATCGAGCTGAAGCTGGATGTGGAGCGTCCTGATGTTGTGCTGCTGTGGAGCTGATGTATCGCGTGTCAAAGAGGACTTGCTGTTCCTGCAGGGACTCAGCCCTGTCCGGTGCTGCAGCGATGACGTCACCTCGGCTCATTGCATTAGCAGGATGAAACAGGGTGCTGCTGCTGGAGGTAACCTCCCGGTTAACCTTCAACTTACCGCAACGGTTCTTTTCCTTTAATTCTTATCATGTATTTAATCTATAACCTGTAACTCTTTCAGAGTCTAAAATTGCACTACAACACCACTGCATTTAACAGTACATCAAGATATTTTAAAAACTTACTAGCTTATAAAGTGTGATACAATATTAAATACTGTCCCGGTACCAAAGAGCATTAAAATGCTCACACCTCAATGGAAATACAGCTCTTATGATACCAAGTTTGTTCTTCTACTCAGGTAAATTTGTTAAATCTTAGATTTTTATGTTTTGTACTTTGATGCCACCTTGTGCGAGTTAATCCATAGAATATAACCCCAGTCCATTTAATAAGCGGACACTGGATTAAATTAAATTCTGTTCTATTTACATAGCACCAAATCACAACAATCGACTCGTGGAGCTTTATTTTGTGAGACCCTACAGTTTTAACATTCCTTAAACTGTTTTTTAAAGAAGAAGAAACTTCCTGCAGAACCAGGCTCAGGGAGGGGCAGCCATCTGCTGCGACCGGCTGAGAGTGATGGAAAGAAGAGAGGACATCGAAACTCTGTAGAAGAGAGTCAGAGATTAATAATAACTAATTATTAAATGTAGAGTGGTGTGTAAACTAGTGAGTAAAAAGAGGTGAGAGAAGGAGAAACATTTATGGGAAGCCACCAGCAGTCAAGGAATATTGCTGCATAACTAAGGGAGGATTCAGGGTCCCCTGATCCGGTCCTGATGATAAGCTTTGTCAAAAAGCAAAGTTTTAAGCCTGATCTTGAAAGTAGAGATAGTGTCTGTCTCCTGAATCCAAACTGGAAGCTGGTTCCACAGAAGAGGGGCCTGAAAGCTGAAGGCTCTGCCTCCCATTCTACTTTTAAATACTCTAGGAACAACAAGTAAACCTGCAGTTTAGAAAACTGCTCTATTGAGGTGGTCTAAGAGGTGTTTAAGATATTTATATTTTATGATTATTACAGACCTTTTATTTCAGGAGAAAGATTTAAAATTAGATTCTGGATTTAACAGCGAGCCAATGAAAAAAGCTAATATGTGAGAAACATGCGCTCTCTTTCTAGTCCCTGTCAGGACTCTCACTCCAGCATTTTGGATCAACTGAAGGCTTTTCAGGGAGCTTTCACAGGGAGCAGGGATTGTCACAGCATAACAGAAACTCACATAAATCAGAGAGAACAAGGAGAGCTCAGCGGTCTGTGGCCACTGCCTGCTAAGCCATTCTCTCTTTGTGTGTTAAACTTTGTGTCTTTTTTGGCAGTTTTATACATGATTGCTACATGCATTCTTATTTCAACTCTTATCAACAACTGATGGGGAAAATAAACATTATATCTCTCCACAGGGTGGCAGTGTTGAGTGGGATTAGGATAGGATTTACAGGAGGCTAAATTTAGAACTAAAAAGTGGCAAACACAAGGAGGTGTTTTGAAAAGAAAGGAATGCTGATTCTTTTTTAAATTTAAATTGAAAACACTACTTTTAACGAGTAAAGATGAGCAATTATGTGTGATATTGTTTGGTTTTTGTTTACATTTTGAATAGTAAAAAATCTTCAAACATTCAAATCAGAGTAAAAAACAATAGTCAGGGAGAGCCTGGATTTCATAGAAACATTTAATTCAGAGCTGATAACAGAATATTTACTGTATGTACATGCAACACAATATGGAATGTACAATATAAATAATCCCAGGTGGATGCTACGACAGCTTGCAACTTTGGAGCAACACTAGACAGTATAACGAGCATTAAATACACGTAGGTAACGTTCCGTTTCAAGCTCCCTCAAAACATCTGACAGAAATGTGAAAGTCGGAGTTGTGGGTCATGTTTGTTTATCAAGCTTCTTTTTTTAAAAATATTTTTATTTTATAGAGCCAGACCTCACACAGGGAATTCTTCCCTACGATGCTAGATAAATACAGATTTGAAACAAACCCCACATGCTTTCATAAGAAATGCAAAGGTGAATTCTGGTGCATCACGTTCCCTAAATTTTCACAGTCATGCACACACAACCCTCATGAAACTGAACTGACTATTTTGTGTGACCGTACTGCTTCTAGGTGCCAGTGGTGGGTGGCTGATTACAGGACAGAAAGGCTGGCTGTTGTTGTTGTTATTGTCATTTCTGGACACGATGCTGTGATGGTAAATGACTCATATTCTGTCAGTGAGAAAGTGGCAAAGAAAAAAAAAACGTTCTGGTCATGCATCGTTGTAGCTTTAGAAATAGAGAATGTGCAAAGATTTAAGGGAAGGTGCATTCAAGCAGATGGTAAATGGGCAACTAAGTGATGGGGTGGTGAGGGGAATGCATTATTCACATCATCCACTCTAGTCTTGGTCCTGGTTCTTGGAGGATCTCGTCACAGTTTCAGTGGATGTGTAGATACTACAGCCTCTGATCCAAGAGTCTTTTTTTATTGGTTTTTTAAAAGGGGGCGGGGCATCCTGGGAAAGAATACAACAGTAAACAAATATCAGCAGACAGGAGAGCCTGATGGATATTTTAGTACTCCTCAACTGTAACTGCGACCATTTGAAACACAGTGCACGTCACTTCGAAAGCATCATGTAAGGAGACGAATACCATAGGCACGACATCGAAGGCTCCACTGTCTTATTTGAGAACACGCTGACCCATAAACATTTAGCTACTGGATGCTCCACAGTATGCCACATGCGACGGCTTTTTTTTAGAAAAAAACATATACTGTATATGGAAAGCTTTTACTAAAACACACAGCTTGTCTCATTTGGCTGCGGTACAATCCTCTGTTATTCCCACGTTTCTCTAATCTAACAGATCATCTTGGCGACATGAATTATGCATTTGGCCTAAAGATAAGGCATCGCAGCTGTGTCTGGGGCTTTGGTCTTGCTTCTCAGATCTCATTTTCTGTTTATTTTTTCCTTAGGTCTTTTCTCCCTGCTGCTGATCTGATATAAGTAAGTCTCCACTGGCTCGGTGCGTAACGTAGAACATCGTCTGCATAACACGTGAGACCGACGGCGAGCCCAGGTTAAGAGTCGACGGTGCTTTGTGGTGAACGATTGTCTGCTCTGCTCGTAAATACAGGTTGTTTTTTTTTTCAAAATGGACTCAGTGTGAAAAAACATACAGAATATGTAACTTTGACAAATGTGCAAGCAAAAGTGTAAAAAAACAAACCAAAAAAATCATTTAAAGTGTTTTTAAGGTTGCATTACTGCATATAAGAACAAGATGGTTGCTGTGTAGCAATTAATTATGTCTGGATTGCATCAATAGGCAGCAGAGTAGATGTTCCTTTCCTTACAACATACTTCTCCATAAGGTGACCCACAGGAAACCCTTCTCATGAAATGCAATATCTGTCATCTGGATATGAAAAAAGTACGTTCATTCGTCCCCCGGCAGTCATCACGCCCTCTCCCCAGAGTCCTGAAAGTCCCAGGGGCAAACGTCAACCATTTTCGCCCCGGGTTTATAACTAGTGCTCAAAGAGCCGTCTTTCTTCTTCTCTGATGATTTTCTAGTCTGAGCCAAGCTGCCGTGCGTGAGCTCGGTCTCCCGGGAGAAAACCTCCGCCCTCCTGACCTCCATCACCTCTGGGTCTCTTGTTGAGCTCCTCCGCCGCTCAGAAACCGGCCCACCGCATTCCGAAGACTGGCTGACCCTTCTCCTCTCCGACGGAGGCTTGCTGGAGGAGCTCCGCCTTTCTCTACTCTTCTCCCTCCCTTTCTCCTTCTCAGCTTTGTGGTTGGATGAGCTGGAGCCTTTCCGTTTCTTCTTGTGTGAAGTGGGGCTGTTGCAAGTCTTCTCCTGCTTAGGTGAAGGTGGGCCGGTGTAGTCCCATGGGCAGATTTCGACCATCAGAGACGGGGGCTGTAAAAGGCTGCCTGTGGACTTGGAGTGGTCTGAGTGAAGCCCTTTGGGCTTCCCATCAGTAGGCGTGACACTCTTCTTACGCCTGATTCTGTCTGGAGAAATGGAATCCGAATCTCCTTTCAGCATGGGTTGCTCATCGAATTCCCAGGGACACACATCCGGCTTGAGAGGAAGAGGTGACCTGGGTGCCCGAGATTTCCGTGTTTCCCTTCCTTCCTCCTTTTCTCCTCCTTTATCTTTGGCGCGGCGTCTGTTGGAAGGAGACTGGCTCGTCTTCTGCCTCTGCTGGGACCGACCACCTTTGGTGACTCCAGAGCTGCTGCTGCTGCCTCTCCGGCCCGAGGTGGTTTCTCCAGGAGCGATGGAAACATGCTTCTGGGTTTTTGCTTCTGAGGGAGTCTGTGGTTCTTCCATTTCCCAGGAACAAACCTCGGACACATCGTAAAGGTTCCTCCCCGTCTCAGAGCAAATTGATGGCTGGCTCCCACTCACCTGTTGGATAAAGGAGTAAAAATCAAAATGAATGCCAAATCAGTTAATGCTACAAGGGGCTCGAGCAAACACTTTCTTAATGTAAGAATTTTGGGGTTAACTGGTCGATTGTCCCTACCAATGATCAGAGAAATCGCTTTATGTCTGTCTGGCTGTTCTGTACCATCATCATCTCATCTACTTTAAACCTGGTGGGTGTATTGCCTGGCCCTCCAGTGAGTGCAGGGCTGAGTTCAAGACTGTTTTGTTGAGTGATTCTCATATTTTGGTCAAAAGCTGCTCTCTGTTACCAGTGTTTCCTCTTGAGCGACTTCTGCCTGCTCCACTCTGTGTGGGTGGAGGTGCACACATACACATACATGTATGTTTGTTTGGATATCTGTCAGGACATTCATTCAGATTAATGCATTTTCAAACCTCCCACTGCAAACCTAATTTGAACTTCAACCATAAAAAACAAGTTTTAAACGAAGATAGGTGGACATTTATATTTGGTTCCTATATCACATGACTGCAGTACCTTATTTTTGTTGTTTGGGCATAAGTAAAAATGTAGACTGTATTTTTTTTTCAGTCCTGCTGTGAAGCCTCAAGGTGGGTGTTTTCAGTGTTGCCCACTGGTGTTTTACATTGTTTTACTGCCTTACTTTCAGTTAATGTATTTTGTTTTGCACTATGCATATTTTATATGCCATTAGGTCATTTATTGTGAGAATTCTCATGTAGGAACTATTGTACTGCA